ATGTCTCCCCCAAAGTGGCATTTTGATCGCCGTGAATCTGTGCGATGCGGACACTTTTCCCCGCAACTTCCGAAAAAAACAGAAACAAATTGCTGATACCGTCGTTTTCGTGAGTGAAGCGAGTCCCAAAGGCCGCCAGCGCATGAGAATACGGGTAGTCAAACCCACCACGTAGCATGTTATATAATTTTATTGTCCGTGAAACAGGCGCTGACGCATTGGAAACAGACCCTCTGGGCAGCATAGTGACCATGTGTTCTTGCGGGAGCGACACGGCTGCAAAATCGGCAGTTAACCCCGCATAAGCCATGGTGTACGGTAACGCCGTTACATTCTCAGGTAATGGCACGCTCCCGTAAGTACGTGGGGCTGCGCCTCCACCGCAGTGAAAATCAACATGAGAGACATCACGCAACAAAAGATGTGCACTTGACACAATAACAGGGACACAGTCAAACACCTTTTCAAAATATAGGTAGTGACATGGTCCGAGAAGAAGTTCGCAACCACGCACATTAGAAACAATCACAAAACGAAGCCCCATCAAAATCTCTATAACACAATTCTCCAAATCTTGAAGGATGAGAGTATCCACAGACGATCCGTACCCAACAGGTACCTCATCTCTACAAAGTACGAGGCGATTGCTGGATTTTCCACTAAAAACCAGCGCATGGGCCTCGACATCTACCCGCATACCTTTGGACTCTACAGTACTCGTCAAAGTCACGGTATTACTATCTGTCACGTTCTGAGAAAAATGTTTGAATGCATGGACCAACGATCGATACAAGAGAGACTTGACTGCAGTTTCCTCGCCCTGATTTTCATCGTCCTTTAAGACATGTCGTCTTTCCAAAGATGGCCAGAGGATGCCCACCGTGTCCGTCTTGCATGCCGCTCCCTTCGCATGATGATATGACTGGCCGTAGTGAAGGGCATCCCAGCGCGAGGCAAAAATGGAATTCCGCAACAATCGTGACAGCAACGGCGTGGTACCACAATCCTTCTTCACACAGTCCATTGCCAAAAAAATGGGGTACAACAGGCAGTGCACGGTCCGATCCATCAAAGCCGCTTCGTCCACTTCATCCTCCCTCATCGGCGCCCCCTCGCTGCTGCTTTTTGGATTTGGCTGAATGGGGAATTCAACAAAAAAGGAATGCGTCAGTAAACTCGTCGCCACAAACTGCGCTCCGATGGCGGGGTTGGAGGCAGCACGTAGACAAATGTGCACAAAATCTTTGGCCGAGGCAATAAATGCTTCCGTGTAACCCGCAATTCTAAATCGTTGTAGAGCGTAATTGCTCGTGAGCACATTTCCCAAGAGAGAGGAGCCATCATCATCATCTTCAGGATTGTGTGACGATAACGTTTCAACAACTTCCTTCAGCGTGGCGGAATGGAACGGAGGCACGCCGAGCAAACATGTGACGACCAAAATGCCAATCGCATAAATATCATCCGATGTCTTCGGCCGCATCTCGGTCTCACTTGTACAACCATAGCGCTCCAAGACAGCACGATGAAATGCAGGATCTGATGTCCACGGAAAAGTCTCTTCATTCACCTTTTCGTGATGGCTCCATACAAGTTTTACAAACGGTTGAAGGGCTCTTGCAAGACGTGGAGAAATAAATGAGGCATCTGCTGGCAGCAGTGGGTTACTCATAATACCACATGCCCCTGTGAGCACCGTTCTTCCGTCATCCGTGCAGCAAAGAACGTTGCCACTGTGAAGACACCCGTGAACAAACCCAGCGTCATGTAAGACAGCAACCCTCTGAATGACGGACTTCAGAATGGCCACTAGTTCTTGCTGTGAAAAGGGGAGAGTGCTAAAGGCAACCACATCTGAGAGACTCACCGTACATGCATCAATATCAATCACCCCAATCAACCGGCATGAAGAGTCCACATGTAAAGAATGCACTCCACGACAAATGACCTTTCTAAGATCCACCCCACTTCGATCTGCGATGGCTTCAGTTTCCACATCTTCTCCTTCTTCGTCCTCTTGAATCTGATTATCAATCGTCAACCCTGCTTCCGTGAGGATTTGCTGCATGGATCGCATGTGTAATGCCAAACGATGCAGCGTATCAAACGCCATTTGAAGAATTTCCGCCGCCTCATCGCTCGGTTTTTTCTCAGGCTTCGTGTAGAAGAGTGAGATAGTCTTCACCATCGTTTCCGTGACAAATACGGATCCCTCCATCGACATTTCAGTCTCCTCACCACTGAGGTTTGAACCTACGTAAAAGTGACTCAGAAGCGTTACGTCAACCAACGACATTGTTCTAAGCACACTGTCCCATTCCCTGTTCTCTTCAACGTAGAGCATTTCATTATCATCGCTCTCCACCATGTCTTTCGACATTTCTCCTTCTTCCACCTCCTCTTCCTCCTCGGTTTCTTCTCCCACCACCGCCCCCTCCTCATCGTCCACGAGCTCATGGGTGTCAGTTACCTCTGTGAGCTGGTCACCAAGGCGTCCCATGCCCCTCAACGCATCGCACCCGTGACGGGCCAAGGGGCGCACAACGTTTTCTGCGGATTCAACAAGTTGGTGGTGCAGATGCCCCTTACAAAAATCATATGATGCACGCTCCAAGCCACGCCTCATGATCTCCTCCTTATCACTGTCGTTGCTGCCATTTTGTTCGTCATCATCGCCACCGTCGTCGTTGTCATCATCAAAGACGAAGGATTGAACTTCACGGCAGTTGCGTTTGCCCACCGCCATGGGCGAGGTGGCCGTCTCAGGCCTCGGATAAGAAGGCAGAGAAATGACTTGTGTGGCGACTGCTGGCGACGGCGGCTCATTGCCAGAGGACACGGAATTGGTCCCCCCGCTGCCTCCCCCCTCAGAGCTGGACGGGTCATCAAAGTCCATGCAACAATCGTTTACTGGTGGCGCTTCCTTCACTTCCTCTCCTACACTTCACAAACAAATCCCAGCCACACAAACAGACACAAATAAAAGAAAAAGTGAATGAAACACAAACAAACAAAAGAAAGGAAACGGTGCAGCAAGCGACACAGCAGAGACCGCACAATGCGTCGCAGCAAAGACAAAGAGAGAGCTAAATAAAGGCGCGCAAAAGACAAAAAAAAACCAAAAAAAAAAAAAAAACACTCCAAAGAAAAAAAAAAAATAAATAAAAAAATATGACAACAAAAAAAAGGGGTAAACGAATGCCGCGCCAAATGCGCTTGCGGCCTCGCAGAGTAAAAAAAAAAAAAAAAACGGATGAAAACACCTGCAAACAGGTACAACCGTGGGCATTATGCACCATCAACAGGCCATAAGAAAAGCTGGAAATAAGTCTGACACCAAAAAATAAAAAAATGAGGGCGCATCTGCCTTCCGACACCAACGTCGCTTCTATTTACGCAGGCACACGATTGAAAATATCACCACATCGTCCCTGCTTCACATATCGTTTTGGCTTTGAACGCCCTCAATATCCAAGACACCAACTTCTCTCTTCGTTCCCAGTCAATTTCTTTAATGGCGGCAATTCTACAAACCGCATTGCGACCACTCGTCACGGCCGTTCTTCTCGCCGCTTCTTCTTTCAATTTTTTTTTTTCTCCCTTTTTTATTATTATTCATTTTTTAAATATTTTTCCTGTTTACATTCATCAATTTTTCCTCTGTGCCCCACTCTCCTCCCTGATTTTTCTTCTGGAAATAAACCTAAATGGTAATTTAAGTCTTCTTATACATTTGCCTGCCGTTCATATGCTTGCAGTCGGCCTGCCGGACAGTTGCGGCTCGATAGACAAGCCGGCAATAATTCACGTATGCACATGAAAGAAAAATAAAATAAAATAAAAATACAACTGCTTCCACAAGGTGCAACCAGCACCCGCCGCGGGAATTTTCTTGCAAAGGGAAGAACACGCCCTCTTTTGCTGCTGTCGTTCACCCTCTCCTTGGAACGCATAGTGTTGAGGTACAGACACGCACACACACAATTGCTTCATGCGCTCATTTATTCAATCAGTCACACAAAAAGAAGCCAAAATGGAAACGGTGTGCAGTCTTTCTCAGCCTCATTCCCCGTGGCTGTTTTTTTTTTGTGTTTGCGTGTTGCGCGTGTTTGCGTCTTTTCTTTCTTCCCCTCAATGCGCCTTTTTTCTGTCTACGTATTCTCCCCATACAACTCTGCCGCGCAGCATGGTGTATATGCCAAGTGCAAAGACTAGGATTGAAATGAAGTATCCCGTCCCGGCCATCCAGAACCCCTCGCTAAGTTCTGTAAATGGTCCCGTCGACAAAAGCAGAATGTCAGCAATCATGTCGGGATCCATCAGTGGATTCACCAGATTTCGTGCAATGGTAGCATTCTTGGAGACCTGTAAATTTTTCATGACATCCACGCTCGCGGTGCGGGCCGCGGATACATCTGGCACCCCCGCCCTGTCAAAGCAGTTTGTCGCGCAAAGGGCGATGGTGCAGGATGCGTCACTCGGAGAAGCATCCGGGGCTGGTGTACAGAAATTGGGGTTCTTCACAGGCACCGTCGACACCTGCTCCAATAATTCATAAAACGTCTCGCATTTTACGGCGGAAGTACAAAAGAATGGCTTTTGGTCTGAGAAAACGGGATTGTTATCGCAGTATTCGTTGATCTCCGTGCACGCGTCCGCCACATGCAAACTAATGAGGCCCTCAATGCTTGTGTCAAGTTGCATAACCTGGGCGTTGAAATGACTCTCAAAGTACGGTACGACATACCACTGCAGTATACCAGGCTGTCGCGCCAGCTGGCGATCCAATTCACCGTTCAGAGCACTGCCGAAGTACGCTGCAACCAGAAATATGACAGACAACAGCGCAAATACAAGCCCCACAAAGTAGTAGACACAGGAAAAACATGCCGGGAGACAACGTGAGATGCGACACAAACCAAAGAAAAGAGCAAATAGTAACAACACAAACGGCATCCATCCAAGAGAATATGAGACAATCGCGGCATCGTCCAAGTACTTCAAGTACTTTCTATCAAAATCATCAATATTCCTCATCACAGTGTCATAAATGTCAACAACAACCTGAGTTTCTTTTTCAATAATGGGCAATATGACGCCATCAACCATCGTATATTGTTCAACTTGTTTTGCGATGTTCTTAAAATAAGGTGCGGTTGTGTGCTTTGCGTTGTAGACTGCATCTTGTACGCCTGTGTGCATGGTATGCGCACCCATAATAATGGCCACCATCGATCCAGCCCCCCAAAGTATGGCAATAACGGCGGCAAGGTACAAGCAACTGGGGCCATTATAATGCTGCGCAGCACTCGTTGGAAAACAACACGTTCGGCAACAGGTCCCATTGCAGGCGCAGATGCAGAAGCATATTGGAAAAATAATGAGCAACAGCACAAAGAAAAGTGCTGCAAATCCGGGGTAAATGTAATACCTCCAATAGTCCTCAATGCGATTTCTGTTTGAGAGACATGCCTTCACACTGTTGGTGGAGCTTGGCCCTGACCATACCTTCTCGCAGCCCACCGTGAGGGCATTTACCTGCGTAACCGCAAATGCAAGTACGAAAAGACATCCAAACGCCAACAACAATCGCGGTCCACAGCCTAGTGGACGCCTCATTGTCGGTCAATTACTTCTTATGTCAACGATGGTTCCTCGCCTTCCCCTCCCTTCTCTACGTGTGTTCCCCCCCCCCTCGATCTTCTCGTTGGCCAAAGCCCTCCTGAACCCAAAACTCGTGGTCCTTTTGTGTGTGGTGCGTGTGAAACAGTAATTTCGATGTATTCTCTCAGTTTCCCTTCGTTTCCTGTTCCTTCACTCGGCCACTCTCACACCTCTTCACGGCCCACCACCACCCCAAAGAAAAACAAGAAAAAAAAAAAAAAAAGTGAAAGAATCAAAAAGACGGTTATTGTGTTCCACTGTTTGGGTAAAATAAATCAATAAATAGTATACAGCGGAAAATTGCTTATTTTCCCGTCCTGTTGACATGAAGAAAAAAATGAAAACAAGAAAACATGCATAGACGAAAAGTAGACAACACATAAACACAGAGAAACACACAAAAAAAATACGCCTTTTTGAGTGTAAAAATATGTGCTGCCTTCCTCTCCAGTGCTTGTGGTAATGTGTACATGCAATCAAATAAAAATAACATCAAAGAGAACCACAGCTATCAACCGTGTGTTTACGCCTTCTCCCCATTTGTCCACCTCTACAGGTCCGTAAGCCACTGGCATGCATCGCAAAGAGAAGTCTCCTTCGAAATCAAATCAGTCGAAACTCCACCATATCGGCAATACAGGGTAAGAAGTACAGCCGTTGCCAGTTCTCTCATTCGCGCCGGAGTGTCGGTCTTCGTAACGCGGCAGACAGAGGCCCAGGAGTTCCCAGGTGGTGCTGGTATCGACAAGGGCTTCTTTTTCTTTCTTTGCTGTTGGAACGACTGCTCGTTCGTTATGGACTCGAGCAGCTGGGCTCGCAACAACCGCAGTACAGAAGTCCAAAATGCCTTTTCGTGGCTCTCCAGAAGTGTGACTGGGTCTTCTTCTTCTTCTTCTTGGGATTTTCCCTTCTTTTTCGCATCCCCTTTAGCCTCATCGTATGCTTCACCTCGCTCGTCGTTTTCGACGGCAAAATGGGCGCTGGTGCTCACACCAGCAGGTGCCACAACATTATCCCGAGTACTCACCGCTTCTCTCCCGCTCTCGTTCTTCACCGCGCCCCTCTGACCGTACGTCACCACCAGTCCTCTTAAAGTGACGTCTAATGCCTTCTCACCCCCGTCATCATTTACCACAATTGGCACCTTGCCGTGAGCACTGTCTTCATCAGTTATGATTGGTGTCTCGGAGGCCAATAACCCTCCCACGGCGTGAAGGTTCTGTATGAGCCTTAAGCGCTGCGCCTCACGTAGCTGTGGGCTCAAGACCGCCGCCAAGACGACAGAAAAAACTTGGGCGGTGGTTAAAATATCTTCAAACATGAGCGCCGCTTGCACAACACTGAATGTATCCCACAATTGATTGAGTGGGGAAACGACGTAGGCGGGCTCTACACGACCGAGCAAAACACGCACAGAAGAAAAGGCCTCCTTAGAAGAGTCCACAGACCCCGGCTGTTGCGGCGGCATAGAATATACTTCACCTTCCTTCTCCCCATCAAATTCACTTGTGAGGGTCCCGGGAAATCTAGAGGAAGCGCTATGGATGCGATGCTGGGTGGAACATGTGGGATCCTGCATGCAGAGCGGTTCCGCCTCGTGGGGTCGGAGCAGGAAATCCAACTGATCCACAGAAAATGCAAAGAGTCCACGCAACCACATGGCGGCAACGTTACGCTGCTCATCTGGAAGAAGTCGAGCGCCCACAATCTGAAGCGCCAATTGCTGCTGCAGCAAAGGTGCCTCAAAAAAGACTTCTAGGCACAACACCGTCGCCTCCTCCAAGACCACAAAGTCAATTTTCTGTCTGATGACAGACGCCACTGTTGGACTCATCATTTTTTCGGTGGAAGATGGCACCATCGACTCACCCCGAAGCACGCTCGCCGATTCTTCTGCAATGACATACAAGGCTTTACGAAATGTAATGGTTAAAAGTTCCAGCAGAAACACTCGCAATTCCCATGCATCCGCGGCCCGTTGAAGAAAACTTCCCGATGCACCCCGCTGCTTCACATCATTCAAAATAAAAAGAAATGGTTCAAGTGCCAAATCCCATCGATCCCATGCGAGAAATTGTATTACCATTGCTACTCCAATTGAGCGCTCACGCATAGAGGAGGATCCAAGGGAGCCCATAACCCCACGCGCGCACAATTCAACAGGTGTGGTGGGAGAAGAAACAAAAGACATAGAAGATAACGACACCCCCGACGTTATTGTTATTTCTTGCTGGGCGGCAAGTGTTGAGCTCTTTGGCTCTTCCTTTTCCATGTCATCCGTGCCGAGCGATTCCCGCGCGATGCGAAGCACGTGAAGGAGAAAGAGGTCATATTGAGCGCGTTTCGAGCCTGAATTGGTCGAGTCTGTGAATTCATCCCCAACAAAGGCCGTTTTCAAGGAGCCTGCCAGAAGCGACGTCAATCGTAAAGCAGCGTTCCATTCCGTTTTCTCTGATTGCTGCAGCTGCTGTTCCTCCCCAGATTCTGTTGCATTTCCTCCCGATTCCCCCTTTTTACTTTTCGAACCGTCTCCGCAGATGTGTGCCACAACAACGCGTGCAATTGCCTCCAAAATCGCCGCACTTGAACGGCAAAAGATTCGAGAGATTGTGGGGACAAAGTAGTTCATCAATAGGGAGTATGCCAGTTGGGGCGAAACCGCATGTACTTCCTTTCCAATACTGCAAAGAAACACAAAAACCGATGCAACATGGAAAATCCGCTTGTTTGAGAATACAGCCTGCTGCGGTGTATTCAGATCTTCTGTTAAAGAGAGGATGGCATCAGACGTATCCTTGCTGCGTAGAAGAGAGCGAACACCGTGCGTTAAAGTAGAAGTTGTATGGATGCTTTCCCTCCTTGCGTTATGCATGTCCGGCAGGGCAGACACATGTAGTAGAGGGATTTGTAGCATCTCGGGAACACAGATAAAGCGTATGGCCCTTAAAATATACATATATTCTGTTGGACGAATAAGTAACGTCGATGCAATAGCACTGCTTGCGTTTAATAGCGCAGACCAGCACGCAACAGCAGCCGCAAAAGGTATTTCCTCCCGATGTCCCACAAAGAAAGTCAAGATGTTTTTGTCATCGATCCCATTGCTTGATTCACCAAGAAGTTCCTTGAAACCAGAGGTCTCTAGTGTCGTACGCAGCAGCTTGGATAATCCCAAACTAAGATTATGACCACATGCCTCAAGCAGTTTCTTGGTAGCCTTTTCTCGCGACTTCTCTCTGGAGTCCGCCTTCGCATTGTCAGCGGACTCTCGGAATTGAAGTGCGCCAAGAAGTCGTTTGCTTAACATATTTACCTCCACCACAGAGACTTTGTCGGCGAAAATTGCATCATCCTGAAAAGGCATTTTAAAGACCGATTCACTTTTTCCGTCCTTTTTCCCAATCGCTGCAAGACGACTGTGATCCACGGGGGCAAAGCGTTGAGGCTCGGCGTACCGGTAAGCCTTATGGAGCAAATTGTGCTCGTTTAACAACTTCTCATTCCGTTGCTGAACCCGTAACTCATCTGCGGGAACCGCAGCAGCCAACACGGCATTCCGTGCATCACGGTTGGCCACGTGTAACAGTGAGACTGCCGTCGGTCGCGCAAATCCAGGCTGTTTGATCCCCTTACCAAGCGCAATTTCATCATTTTCCATTGAACGAAGAGGCAGTGGTTTCCTTTCCAGCGTCTTCGCAACATGATTCATATTTTCGTCATGCAAGGCGTCTAGTAAGTTAAGAATTGACATTTTATTGCCGTCACTTCCGTCCGTTGCACGAGGGGGAATCGGTCGGTTGCAGAAGAACTCATAAAGGTTGTCCAGCACCATGGCCGCCACACCCGGCTTCCCCTGAATGGTCGCCTCTGCCATCTCAGCTGTCACGCTGCCACAACCAAGACGTTTTAGGTCACGTAGTAATACCTTCCAATTGCGTCGTTTGCACTCCGTGGAGCATCCAGGCACGTAGCTGTGCATGCCCACACGTCGGTCATAACGACTGACAATCTCGGCAATTGTGAATCCATTGGAGAGATCCTGCTGTGGGTGTCGGACCTGATGCGATAGGTCAAGCGATTGAAGCCATACGATTATTTCTCGCTGCATGGGACCCCCCTCCTCTACCCTTAGTTGGAAAAACACCTCACAGCTTTACTTTTACAGCTGCTCTTTTTTTTTTTTTTTTAAGGATGTATATATATATATTTTTTTTTACAGATGCCAAGATAAAATCAAACAAACAGAATAGTCAGTTTAGTCGTAACGGTGCGTTTGACCAAGCAAGAGAAGCAACAGACAGTGTCGTATGGATATGGAAAAGGAATACGACACCCCACTTACTCTTATGAGAAAAATTATGTTTTTGGCTCATCTCCTTGTTTTTGTTGTTAAGTGTGACCTGCAATTTACGTGTTCTGCTCACCTCCAAAAAAAGCTTTTTTTTTTTTTTTTCTTTCCTTCCGCATGTCCATTTGGAAAAAAAAAAAAAAAAAAAAAAGAAAAGAAACAAAGACAACCCAACACAGTAAGTGTAGAGATGTATACATGCATACGCCCGTAGATCTATCCTCTACCCAACGCATCGTTCATTCATCAAATCAGTGATATGCATATAAATACACATACTTGTTTCTGTGTGACTGTGCGTCCATTAAATAATAAATAACTTCAGTTTTAATGCGCCACACCATTGCTAGGAGATGGAAGAGGTATATTCCACCCCTCCAGTTGTTTCTGATATGTAGGAATACCATCCGTCCAATCTGTAAAAAGTTCTGCCCCGTCGTTGGTGACAACCATCGTGTGCTCAAACTGTGCGCTCCGCTTTCCGTCTCTTGTCGTACTTGTCCAGTTGTCTGGCCACGTCACATCCTGCCAGGTGCCTAAATTAATCATAGGCTCAATGGTAAAGACATGGCCGGGACGCATCATTCCAAGGCTCTTGTTATTTGCATAATGGCACACCGTGGGAGCTGTGTGAAAGAGGTGCCCAACACCATGGCCCGTGTAAGCGCGTACGACTGAACAACCATACTGAACAGCGCAGGCTTCAATAGCGTCTCCTACGTGCTTATAGAGGGCCTCCGGTTTTACCACTTTAATACCAGCATACAAGGATTCATATGCGGCATGTACGAGACGCACGCTATCGGCGTCCGGCTTGCCCACAAAGACAGTTTCATTCAAATCCCCGTGAAAACCGTTAAGGTAACTCGAGACGTCAATGTTCACGATATCGCCCTCCTCCAGCCCCCGGGAATCGGGGATGCCGTGGCAAATCACCTCATTCACAGAGGTGCAAACAGACTTGGGAAAGTTATAATAGTTAAGCGGTGAGGGGTACATGTCCCGTTCAATGGTGGCCTCATGAACAATACGATCAATCTCGTCTGTCGTCACGCCTGGACGTACGGCCGCCGTTGCAATATCGAGTACTTCACGTGAGAGACGACAAACCTTTTTTACCCGCTGAATGTCCGCCGTCTCTTTACTATCATCATGCAGGCTCTGTAGATTGTACACCCTCACCTTTGCCCCTCGGTCCTTTTCCTCCGCGGGGGAGAGGCCGTCTGCGCGGTTTGCGTAGTCCGGCCGAGGGATGTGGGAAGGCACGGCACGGCGCGGTGTTATTCTTCCAGGGCGCAGACTTCCTGTGAAGTTGAACGCATTCATCGCGGCCTCCGTCATGGTGGGAATTGTGGGCAGAGCTGACTGCGTATGCTTCAGCTTGTGATCGGCCCAGTGCTCCTTGAAACACGCCTGCGAGCAGAAATAACTCGGTGGCATGTCCAACTTCTTGCACGTCGGGCACTGCATCGCGGCCTCCGATAGTCCGCAGCCCTCACATGGCATTTTATTCGTTCGCCCTCCCCTTCTCAGTTTCTTCCGCCTCTTTTTATTCCCTCCCCCCTGTCTCACTCACTCTCTCTTTCTCCTCTCTTTTTATCGCCCGCTCTCGCACAGATGCGCAGAGGCCTCGTGGCTTCTGTCAAATGCTGCAGCCCCGTCAATGACAGCGAGAAAAGAAAGCGGAGGAGAGAGAACGCAGCAGAAAAAAAAAAAAAAAAAAAAAAAAAAAAAAGGAAACAGACGTCGTCAGAGCCAAAGTCACATTTAAATGAATTTCACAAAAGGATAAGGGAAAAAGAAGGGAAAGAAGTACATGTAACGACACATATGCACCATATATATATATATCTACCATGTGTATTGAAATGCGGCATATAAATAAAAGAAAAAAAAAGAGCCCATTGAAGATATAAGAACAAAATATCCTCCATTTCACGCCCTATTTCATTAAGAAGGAAGCTGGCGGCGAGGGTCAGCTACGCATAAATATAAAGTGAACGCCAACGCCAAAACAAATGGTGAGCAAAAACAACAACAACAACAAAACAAAATGAAAATATCTCAAGAAAAAAAAACCAATGGGAAAGACAGGAAGGGATGCAAGCCACCCTCCCAGCAGCACACAAGAACACAAAAACATACACACAAAAAAAAAAACGAAATGATACAGGCAAGTAAACATTGCGACCGCACAAACGCATGGATGTGCAATCGCCGGGGGACACCTGAGATGAATCAATCCCAAGTATCCTCACATATCTCATCTTATTACCTCCTTTTTTTTTGTTTACTTTCAGTCATTCCCCTCACTTTCTTTTCCCGTTATTAGTATTCTCATTCTTGTTAAGTGCACCGCGCAGCAATTGCACTTCCTTCTAATTTCCTTCTAGTGGGATTTTTTTTTTTTTTCTTCTTTTCTTCTCGCCCCCTCTCTGATGCTCTTTGCAATGCACGCAGCCATTGGCGTCCCTCCCCCTCCGAATCCCACCATCTTTCTCTGTTTCTTCGGTCTCTTTAATTACTTGGCTGCCCCTCCCCCTCCCTCCCTGCGGGACTTCAATGAGTTCTTGTTTGTGCCGTGTTCTTCTGTACATCACCGCAGTCTGCTCGCACGCCACACGAACACTCACAGAGAGAAAAGGTTAGGGCGCTGGGGATAAAGGCCAATGAAAAGCCAAACGATTCATTTCCGTTTTTACTTTTTTGCCACACGCACACGGGGAACGCGTAGGGCGAAAAAAGGACGAGGAGGATTGGCTGCGCCGGCGACACAACAGGCCGGCCGGCCGGGGACAAAAGAACAAAAAACAGCAACAAAAAAACAGGGGGACAAAAAACAGAAACAAAAACAGCGAAAACAAACAAACAAATAAACAACAAAAAAAAGACGCACACACGCAAACACACGAAGCCGCACGCGTTGATAAATACACGCGGAGTGTACTCGAGTGAAGGGGAACGGTGCCGCACAGCCACAGAGCCCACCCCCTTCCCGCACCACCATGGCGGGCGCGCGCCAGAACCGATTGCCAAACATGGGGAGGGAAAAGGCCCGCGCAATAACAACGAGTGTCGAGAAGCACAAACAAAGAAACAAATAAAAAAGAAGCAATAAAAGAAAACAAAAACCCAAAATGAAAAGAAACTATCTCTCTCTCTCACACACACACAGACACAAACACAATTTTATCACACGTAAAAATGACTGTACATTTTTCCAGCATGCTTCCAGCAGCCCCTAATTCTGAAAAATAAGACAAAAGGCGTAAAAGAAAAAAATAACGACCAGCTTCTATTCAACAGTCAAGTGACCGTACAAAAAAACTACATGCTCATACGCGAACTAAAACAAAGGCATAAAGGAATATAAGGAAAGAGAAAATTAAAATATTATAAAATGCGTACATATATACATCTTCTCTTTGCCTTCCTATTCACTAGGAGGTGTTATATCATTACCCTCCAGAACCTTAAATGTCTCCAATTGAACATCCTCGGGAGTACATTCACCACTAAATCGCAGGCGCTCCTTGTCAGAAGCCGCACGAGCCGTTCTTGTCCGCGATCGTGCGACCGAGCGCATTAGTTCTTGTTGCCATGCATTTTCTTCCTCCTCGTTTAATTTGCTGTCGGCTATCAGCCGGGTGTTTATTACGTCCTCATGCTCTGTTTCTACCGCCACAACTGTTTCTTGCTCTTCCTGTGGAGTCTGAAGAAAAGGAGGACCGCTGCACGCCGAAGGTGTTCGGGATAAGACCAAGGGCGAAATGGCTGACAAGCCACGGCTCTCATGGCCTCCATGGGAAGACATAGCGCTCTCACTGCCCATGTATTTGGACCAACGCTGCATGGTGGACCCTCTTGAATCCATTCGGCGCAACAAATTCTTCTTATAAATATCCCACTCATCGTCAGCTTCGTCAAAGAGTGGGGTGTCAATGGCATCCTCCACATGCACAGGCGATAAGGAACAGAAGTCTGGGATTTCATCCAATAAGCATGGTTCCATCTCTTTTCCTCTTGTTTTGGCTGATACTCCGGCTGCTGGTGAAGAAGAAGGCAAAACATTTGCACCAGAAGTGCAATAGCCATTGTTTCTGTCTCTACTTCCACTGGTATCAATTTGGTTGTTATCACTGTGGTAACTATCAACCTGGACATTTGCCGCCGTCGTCGCCTGCAACGGAGGAAGTCGACGGCAAAAACGAAGGGCACCACCCTTTACCGCGCGATCCGTCCTCAGGGATAATGTGGGAGGTGACGGATTGATTTGACCCCCACCAACAAATGGAGGCCAACGACCTCCAGAACTGATATTAGAGTGGAGGCTAGTTAATAGGCGATCCACCGTGTGGGAGGAGCTGTGGGGACGTTGAGACCCCTGTAAACTGGCCGAAGCGGAGCATTGAGGTCGTGTTTTCCCACAAGAAGTCTGGGGCCGCGTGTATACTCCTCGTGTGGCCTCAACGACCGCAGCTTCCAGTTCGTCAAACCCACATTCCCGTATGCATTGCTGAAGAAACATATACTCATCGGACAAGGAGACGTTCAGTGGGTCAAAGTGGGTACAGCTCCGCCTTGAATTCCCGCCAAAACTTGAATTCACGGAAGCTTCTGTGACTTCAGGGCCCCCATTCAACGTAACAGGCATGTCGTCCAAGTACTGAAGATCAGGCATGAGAGTTTGCACTATTTCCCGAAAAGAACTCGTGGCAAATTCTTTGTCCTTAACATCCATCGATGACACCAAAGCAAGTGGGTCCATAGTCACGGGATTTCCCTGTAGTGTTAGGTATTTTACCTTTCGTAAGAGTTTTAGAGAATGTATGAGGGAAGATGCATCTCGAATATCATTTCCTTCCAAATCTACCACTTCTAGTGTTTCACTTAAATCCAAAAGGGGTGTAATGTCGTGCACGGAGTTGAATGAGGCGTACAACTCCTCTAGAGCAGGGGCGCAGGCACCAATGCCGCGCAGAGTCTCTACTTGGGAACTACCAATCCAAAGTCGCTTCAATTTCATAAATTTTGTCCCAAGCATTCGAACATGCGGTATGTAAGAATTATTCAACTTAAGCGACTGAATATGAGGCATTCGTTCGCTAATTGTGTCCACGCCAGTGAGAGTCCTTGTGTCCAGACGAAACTCGGCAATTGATAACGAGAAAAAATCCTCAAAACCGGTCCATTTCCGCAGTAATTCGTTCGTAATGACCTCACCAAAAACGCTGCCCTCTTTGCCATTTTTTCCCTCCTTCTCCTCGTCCACATTGCGCTCCGCAGAGTTTGCTGCCACCTCACAAGTGACACCGATGCTCTGTAATGAAGCAAACTTGGGAAAGGAGACGCCAGAATAATGATGCTGCACAGGACTGGATTGAGCTTCCTCCGTCCGAGAGAGATCCTCCATGCATTCGCTACTTTTAGAGAGAATGGGCGACTCTGATATATACAATGCCTTAAGATTATGTTTACTATTACTGGCAGGGAGATGCTCTTTCAAAGTCGATAGATTGGAACCGGATAAAGATGTCGCACTCGAACTCTGGCAATTGTTTAAATGAGACGTGAAAGGGTATGTGCACTGGTACCGCCGAAACCTATGCTGCTGCTTAAGAGGAGAAAGACTGTTACAAATATGTTTTTTTTGCGCTCCATTTTCCCCATAAGAAGGACGTTCCCTCCGTACATTCTCTTGCAAATGTCTTCTGTTTGGCCATGCCGTTGACGACGCGCGAATGATTGGCATGCGCCGATGCCCCTCCTTTTCCCCGGCATCGTTAACACCACCAGCGGCAACGCCCATCTGTTTGTGAGCGTTCTTTTTTTTTTTTTTTCCTTTTTCTTATTTGACTTTTTTTTTTTTTTTTTTTCGTATCGTACTTTTTTTTGCGTGTGTGCCGAAGTGTCG